TCCGCTCCACGAACAAGGCATTGAGCTGAGGGTTCTGGAAGCCTCCTGGGCCAAGCAAGGCCCTGGATGTGAAGCCTCCTTTTCTGAACTCACGCCTGCCGAAAACCCTACTGGGAGCCCTGAGCAAAGCCTCCACGGCTACGGGGACTCTGAAAGGCATTCCTGCGAAGCAAACTCGAGCTGAGAGCCGTGCCCAGCTTCACTGCCTGAAACTGCTGCCGCCTGCGGCCGCTCATCATGCGGATGTGAGGTACTTTGGCAGTCCCTCGTGGAGCAGCAAAGCGAGATTCCATCGGAGCGGTGTTTGCTCTAGCGAGGATGATGAATCACTGGTGCACCTGCACAGCTTTCGCTGCCGAGCCAAGCAATGCTCTCTCCTTCGGAGAAGCACTGCTAACCAACCGTAACATCTCCTCGTTGCGAGTCATTAACATGTTGGGAAGGAAGAACATTAACACTGAGCCGGAGATCACTTGGCATTCAAATCCGCGTCGGCCGCTGTCGGTCCACCGTCTCACAGCAGAGCCAGGAGCTTGATTTTTCCTGCGCCTTCTCCATCGCGCCCAGCTTGTCCCCGAGCTTCTCCAACTTGTTGCCCATGTCAGTCCATTTGATGTTTCCAGCAGCCTCCTTCATGGAGACACCGTACTCTTTGGCCTGCTTGGCAATCTCGTCCCAGGGAATGTCCTCTGCCGCCTCTTTGATAGAAAGGCCCATCTCAACCGCAGCGTCCTTCATCGACACGCCGGTGGCTTTCGCCTTCTCCGCAATCTCGTCCCAGGGCACCTCATCCATCTTCTTCTTCACGGCCGCCGCCAGAGCTCTGGCCTTCTTGGTCATCTCCTCCCAACAGAAGGACTTCGCCGCCTCCTTCATAGAGACCCCCATCTCTTTGGCCTTCGCTTGGATCCCCTCCCAGGGGATTGCCTCGATCTTCTCCTTCGCAGCCACACCCATCTCCAGAACAGCCTCCTTCATGGAGACTCCGGCAGCCTTGGCCTTGTCAGCGATCTCGTCCCAGGGGATTTCCCCTCCCCCTCCTCCGCAACCTCTGCGGCCTTGGCATCCAAAGAAACCACCTCCCACACCAGGTCCTTGGTGTTTTCCCACTGCTTAATGATTCCGAAGCCGTGCTGGCCGCCTTGGCCATCCGTTTTCCGGGCGAAGATCCTCCGTCCGGACGCAGAATTCGAGATGTTGACCACTTCAGCTCCCATTTCGCACCCCCCCAATGAGGATCAAACCACGTTTCGACCTTGTTTTTGTTGCCGTTGCCAACTATCATGTCACAGAGTTTCCTTCCA